TTTCTTTCTTTCTTTCTTTCTTTCTTTCTTTCTTTCTTTCTTTCTTTCTTTCTTTCTTTCTTTCTTTCTTTCTTTCTTTCTTTCTTTCTTTTCTTTCTTTCTTCTTTCTTTCTTTCACGAGGTAACACTTGGTTGACCTCACAGATTGCAAGGACCTTGTCAGTTTACAATCCCTTATTTTTTATTTTTTTTATTTTTATGCCTATAGCACCTGGTCTTCCTAGGTAGTCTCCCATCCAAGTACTAACCAGGCCTGACCCTGCTTAGCTTCTAAGATCAGATTGGATCAGGCTTCTTCAGGGTGGCAGTTTTAATTTGCCTTTCTCTTATTGAGTCAGGTTGCACATCTTTTCATATATTTAAAGGCTATATGTATGTTTTTCATTGTGAACTATCCATATCTTTCGTTCATTTTCCTATTGAGTCTCTTATCTTTCTCTTATGAACTTTCATGATCACTATATAAATTAATCCTTTGTCTCTGGTATGAAATTACAAACATTTTTTCCCAGTGCGTCATTCATCTTTTGGCTGTATATGTGATATATTTTTAGTGTAGCTGTAATTCCTATCTTCACTTTTCAAATAGTTAAAGAGTACTAGACTGGGAATGGGAAGTCCTGAGAATGCCTAGGGATGTGCCCTCTGGGGAGAAACTGCCTGCATTTGAATCCTAACTTAGTCACCAAGTACACTCTGCTGGGTAATGTGAGAAGAATTACTTAAGCTCTCTGTAGCTCAGTTCATTATCTTTATAGTGTGATCATACTAGTAATAATTATCTCATAGGGCTGATGTAAAAATTAAGTGAGATAATGAATATAAAGGCTTAGAAGAATTCCTGACATAAACAAAGCACTCATAAATGTTAGCAATTGTTGTTCAATTTATCTTAAATTTATCTTAACAATTTGGAAAAATACCTAAACACCCATTAATTGAAAAGTTGGGCTTAACTGTTAAATTGAAGCTATCCAAAATGTCAGTTTTCCCTCTTTCTTTGGTTATATCTACCTGTGTTTTTAATATTCTTATTCAATACAAGTTAATAGATATTTATCAACTACTATTGGCCAAGTGTGGTCATTTGTTTATTCATCCATTTAATACAGCAATGTGGGCCAGATGTTGCATCAGGAGCTGGTGTAATTCTGAACATGTTACGAGGGTCCTGCCCTCAATGAGCTTGCAGTCTAGAGAGAAATATCAACAGGTAAACGGCAATTGCAACTCGGCCGAGTTCTCTGACTGAAACTCGTGATGCTGGCAGACATGCTTCTAGGAGCCTAACCGGTCCACCGTGCACTGGCTTCCTCTGCTCTAGCCTCGTCAAAGACTTTGCTCCTTTAACTCTGCCCCCTCTCTCCTGGATTATCTATAGCTTCTTTTGTACAGAATCAGTCCCATCAACATATAGACATGTAACATCTCTTTTAAATGTTGGCTTGGTTCTCAGCTTTACTCTAGACACACTCACTCAATCCAACCTCATGGTATGAAATACCACTTATATTCTAACAACTCTCAAATTTATATCTATATTCCACACCTCTTTCCTGAGCCCAATATCTAATTACTTTGTTAACATCTCCTCTTGAAGATCTAACAGATATCCCAAACTCAGTGTGTCCAAAATATACCTGCTGATTTCTCCACCAATCCTCACCCAACCTGTACCACTGTTCACTGAGTTACTCAGATAATACCTTGGGAATCATGCTCGACTCCTCCATTTGTATCATTTCCACATGTAATCCTATAGCAAATCCTGTTGCTTTTACCTTTAAAATATATCTCAAATCTGCCTACTTCTCACTACCTTTACTGTAACTACTCTAACCTAAATGCCTACCATTTCTGGCCTGTATTCATTCTTGTCTACTCTCCAATAGTCAGCTCTCCTTCCAGCAATCAGAGAAATCTTTTGAAAACGTAAGTCTTTGTATCACTCCAGCCCTCATATTCTCTAAGGATTCCCAACAAGCTCAGAATCAAATCCAAACTCTGCACCACAGCCCACAAGGCATGAGCTGCATCCGCCTGTTTCTCTGGGCACCTCTGCCACTCTCCTTTGTGCTCCCTCTGCTCTGTCACCCTTGCTGTGCCTTCAACATGCCACCTCACGGCCTTTACACTTCTTTTTTCCTAGCTTAGAATACTGTACTCTGAATTCATTCAGGTACCTAATCAAATATCACCTCCTGTCTGGTCATTTTTTTCTGTGTAACAAATCACTTCAAGACAGCAGCTGAAAACAATGCCAATCATTTCTTTGGCTCATGAGGGTTGACTGGGCTAAGCCATGGGTCTCCAACATGGATGAAGTCAGATGGTGGGTGGGGCTTAGGTCATCATGATGGCTTCTTCACCCGTATGTCTGTCAGGTAGGCTGGGAGCATCCAAACAGCTGGAAACTGGAACAATTGATTCTACTTGGAAATCTTTTCTCTCTCTCTCTATTGCCGTGTGTGTGTGTGTGTGTGTGTGTGTGTGTGTGTGGACTCAGGGAAGTCAGCCTCATACGTAGTGCTGAAAGGCTCCCAGAACAAGTTCATGATGGCTTCTTCACCCGTATGTCTGTCAGGTAGGCTGGGAGCATCCAAACAGCTGGAAACTGGAACAATTGATTCTACTTGGAAATCTTTTCTCTCTCTCTCTATTGCCGTGTGTGTGTGTGTGTGTGTGTGTGTATGTGTGTGGACTCAGGGAAGTCAGCCTCATACATAGTGCTGAAAGGCTCCCAGAACAAGCGTCTTTAGATAAACCAGCAGAACTTGGATGGCCTTTCTAACCTAGCCTGAGACGTCGTGTGCACTTACTTTAATGGCATTCTGTTCATCAAGGCATTAACAAAGATCCTGTCAGCTTCAAGAAGTAGGCACATAGACCCCATGTTTGATGGGAATAATGTCAAAGAATTTGTGAACACATTTCTAAAGCACCACACCTCCTTTGACAGGGTTCTCTCACTCCCCTTCCCCAGCCCTATGACATTCTCTAACCACTTACCCTGACTTATTTTCCTTCACAACTCAAATGTCTTAACTGAGACTGCATGTTATATTTCCTGGTATACTCATTTATTGTATTTCAACCCACTGGAATGTAGACTTCATGGTGGTAAGGGTGTTGTCTTGTGGCCCCAGGCACTAGAACAATTCATGATACAGAGTAGACCCTCCATAAAGGTTGTTGAATGTTGGCTCTTAACAGACTTGGGGAATCAGGAAAGGTCTTGAGAAAAATTAGAGTGTTGGACACTGCTGTCATATTATGTTTCCATTTCGATGAATTGCATGAACTAAATAAACTGGTTGATCCATGGGTCAAAAATGCAGTGCTAATTAGGTAATATTTCTCCACTCAAAGGAGCTACACTGTCTTATTTATTGACAAAGAGATTTCTTCTTACAGCAGGTGTTTTTCCTGCCTGAGTCTATCGCAAAGTGTCCTGGGGTATGAGCTGCTCCTGAGGTTTTTTTTTTTTTTTTTTTTTTTGTAAAACTAGGAACTATACAACAGGGAGATGGGACAAGGTGTACATCGATGGTCCTTCATTTAATGCATTTCTGGCCCAGAAGTTAGATTCCCTGCTGTATTGATTACATCATTTTGATCTAGGAAGTGACTTTCAAGCTGAGTTTGAAACACTACGAGTAGGTTTAACTTGATAAACCTTGATAAACACATTTCATGTAAGAATCCAAAAAGTGCTTTACAAATACTTCTCCACTCAGTCTAATAGCTCAGGTGGTGAGTGTCATATGTGCCCAGTCCTTGAATTATAAAAGATTATCTGCCTCGTGAGTCAAAAGGGCAAAGGGGCTGTGGAGAGAGTATTGGATTCAGAAGGAGCTAACCAAGATCACTCATCACCATTCTTAATATTTATGTAGTGCAAGTTTTTTGCACAGTCTCTTATTCCCTCCTAATAATTCCCTCTAGTCCTGCCTTTATTTTGCCTCTAGGTATGCAGCGAAGGTAAAACGACCAGGTGTTCACACAATTTTCAGTTTATTTTTGCCTAATTTGACATCGTTTTAGACATAAATTCAAAATATATCCAGGCAAGAATGAGGTTGTCCAATTGGTGTGCTTTACCTAGGGCTGTGACATTATATATATATAATATCCATCTATATATTTTTTTTTCTTTTTCACTCAAATATCCTCGTTATCTCAAAATGTCTAAAAATTGTGAGACTTTTATACCCAGAAATTGTTGAGTAAGCTATGACCTTTTAGATTATTTCTAAGAGGATTTGAGTGATTTGGAGGCAGGGGGAGGCACCATAGGTTACAAGGCAAAATTGCTGTGGATTAGAGACATAAACTCTATAAATTGTCTTGCCACTAACTGTTCAATTTTGGATAGTAATATATTTTTCTGTTTTTAGTTTCCTATCTGCAAAAGAACACTAATAATACCTACAAAATGTATCTCTCAGTGGTATAAAGGTTTAATTAGAAAATGAGCTTTGAAAATTGTCTAATAAAATTAGTAGACAAATATAAAGACTTGCTTAATCGAAAAAATATTTATTGAGTGTTATGGGCTGAATTATGTCAACCCAAAATTCATGTGTTGAAGTCCTAATTCCTAGTACCTCAGAGTGTGACCATATTTGGAGGTAGGGTCTTTAAAATGGTTATTAAGTTAAAATGGGGTTATTAGGGTGGGCTCAAATCCAACATGACCGGTGTTCTCATAAGAAGAGTAAATCTGAACAGACAAGTGCAGCAAAAGACCATGCTATGACACAGGGAGAAGACAGTCACCTACAAGTCAAGGAGAGGGCCCTCAGAAGAAGCTGACCCTTCAGATACCTTGATCTCGGACTTTTAGACTTCAGAACTGTGAGAAAATAAATTTCTGTTGTTCAGACCACACAGTCTGTGATACCTTGTTATAGCAGTCCTAGCAAACGAATAAGTACACTGAGCGTAATATCTACAGGGCTCCCAGGGCAAGGGTGGGATCTGTGAGGACCTTTTTATGGAGTTAGGTTGGATCATTCAGGGAATAACTCTAAATCATGGTCTAGGAGGGCAAAAAAAAAAAATCAAAGGCAAAGATTTGGTGCTCTGTACTAAGTCCAAAGTGTGAGTCAATCTGTAAAAAGAAAAGCAGTCCTTAAGTTAGAAACTAAGAAGGAAGAGAATTAGTGTGCATATAGTTAATCGGGGCTACTATTAATGCAAAGGATGATAGAGAACTGTCTATCAGCAATGCCATTATCATTGACACAGAGTCCTAGTCACTTATGTGTGAGACAGATGAACAGCCATTCTCATTGGCTCCTATTACTGGCCAGGTTCTAGGTTTGCCCGATACAAGAATGTAGCTCACTCTCGAGTATTTGCAGTGGGTTTTACGTCCCATAAATGATCCTCCAGTCTGTACTGTAGCCTATGAAATAGTTGTTTATTGGAGAAAGACAAAGGTGTCGTACCACTGGTCTGTAGGGTGTGGTTTCTAGAACCAAGGAAGTAATCATTTTAGAGGAGATCCTAAAAAAATGATGACATGACCATCTAAGTAAGTGATGAACTCAAAAAAGATTGATAGGAGAAGATAATTTAGTTGAAGACAACAAGAATAATAATGGAGAAACTATAAGATATTGAAAAAATTTATAGAGACATTAATAGGTAAAGCCTAGAGTAATTCCTGAAACCGATGATAGACCAGCTCAGTGACATTTTCAGGTCAATTATGGCTTCATCTTTGGGTAATATTGACATAATGAGCACCCCCTCCCCACACACACACATTTGAATAACACCATTTCAGATTTTATGAATAGCCACTGGATACATTGCCAACCGGCATTTCTTAACATTGTCTGAACATGAGAATCACCTGGGATACCTTTTAAAAACATTGATGCCTAGAGCCTATCCTCAGGAAGCCTAATTTAATTGATTTAGAATAAGGATCACAATTTTACAATCCTTATTTTTAACATCTGAGGATTATGACATGCAATCAGTGTTGAAAACCAGTGCTATAGATCATAGAAGTGAATCTGCCATTGCCCCTTGCTGAGGTCTGTCAGTTCCAGATGTGGCCATAGTTTTATGGAAAAGTCCTAGCGGAGAATTTCTCAGCCATGTGGTTTCAGATATACATGAATACTCAGACTTCCAGGAAAGTAGTTTCTTCAAAGGTTTGATAGCCTGTATAATAAATTTTTTAACCTGTATTTTTAAAAGTTTGATGCTTTTCAGTCCTTCTGATTTTCTGGATGATGTAGGCAAGAGTCAGGCTTACAAAAATGATGTCTCCAATCTTGAAGCCAACCATAATGACAAGCAAGTCTCATATAAATATAATGTGGGTGGTTAACCAGGAGATCTTAACCTAGAGAAATACAGGCCTAGGACTAAGACAAGATGATCAAAAACTTTCTTCTCCTTCTTTCACTTAATTATTCATTTATTTGTTTAGAAAACATTTATTCAGCACCTGCTATGTTCTAGGCATTTGATATATGCAAGCTGAACAATATTTAAAATTTCCTTAGCTCACTGATATTTTTATCTAGAACATGAGCTCCGTTAGTCTGTGGATCCCGGTTTTGTTTTATTTCATTCTGCTGTTTTGCATGCCATAATGTCTCCCATGACTAGCAAATAGTAGACAATTAATACATATTTAATAATCAATAAATGAATGGATACATGAGTGAATAAGTAAATTAATCAAATGAAATATATCATTGCAAAGGAGCTTATGATATAGGCAAAGAACAAGATGCTATAAGAATATGTACACAGAACACTGAATTACGTGGGAGGTTAGAGAAGTTTCTCAAGGAGAAAAAACATATTCAAGTGGTGAGTAGGAAATAACAGGTTTAAAGGCCTGAAGGCATGAGAACAAGTAGCTTATCTTGGAAATTTGAAGTTCATTGTGGTTGGAACTTAAGTGGAGATAAGCGAAGTTGAATTAGGAAGGAGATAGGCCTTGTACAGCTTTCTAGACCATATGTCTTTGTTTCCTATTGCAGCTGTAACAAATTACCACAAATTGGTGGCTTAAAATAACACAAATTTATTATCTTACCGTTCTGTAGGTCAGAAGTCTGAAGTGGGTCTCACTGGGCTAAAGTTAAGGCACCAGCAGGGCTACCTTTCTTTCTGGAGGTTGTAGGGGAGGATTAATTTTCTTTCTTCTCCCAGCTTCTAGAGGCTACGTGCATTTTTTGGCTCATAGCCTCCATTTATCTTCAGAGGCAGCAATAGCCAGTGAAATCTCTCATGCTTTGAATTTCTCCTGACTCTCCTGTCTTCACTTCTCTCTGAACTACTCTTCTGCTTTTACGAGCTCACACGTTTAGGATGAGCCGACCCAGATAATACAGGATAATCTCTTAATCACATCTGCAAATCCCTTTTCATACCAAAAAAATAATAATAATCATAAATTCTGGGGAGTAGGACATGGACATGTTTGGGGGTCATTACTCTGCCTATTACACTGTTAGAATTTGAAATTTAAGAGTGAGGGGAAGCTGCCGAAAGATCTTTAGTAGGGGAATGGTATGGTCAACGTTGCATTAAAAAATAAAAAAATAATATATATATATACATATATATATACATATACATCTGGATGATTTATGGAAAGTGGATTAGAAAGAAACTATTGTCATCAAGAAGAGATGTAATGTTAGTGTAGACCAGAGAAATGTCTAAAAGAGATGAAGGATGGATGGATTTGAGAATCATTTATAAGACTGTAAACAACAGGTTTTAGTAGTTGATTAGAAATGGAAGATGAGCATGAGTGATGCAGGATAAAACAAATAACACCCAAATCACTGGTTAGAGTGACTGCATAAATGAAAGTGCTGTTTACCAAGATAATAAATGCAGGGGAAGGAGCAGCTTTGAGAGAAGAGGAAAAATAATGAATTTGTTTTGGAATACATTGAGTTCAATGAGCCACAAAGACATTCAAATGCAGATGTCCAATTGGGAGTTATACCCAAGAGTTTAAAGTTCAGAAAAGAAGTCTAGACTGCAGACTTATCTCTGGATGTCCTTAGCATACACACAGAATCCAAAGCCCTAGGAAAAGCATAGAGGCGGGTGGGTGGCGGAGGTCGGGGGGTGGGGGATTCGAGGACAGGACCTAGAGGCAAAAACAGCATATCAGAGACTATCAAAGGAGGAGGAACCTGCACAGGAGAGGAGAAAAGGGCAGAGGAGAAAAAAGAAACAAGAGAAATCTAGTGTCATTCAGTCTAAGGGAAGAGAGTGTTTTAAACAGCAAGAGTTGTCAACTGCATTGACCTCTGGGAAGAAGTCAATAAGATAAGGACTGAAAGGAACCAAGTGAGTCACTTGGGAGTGATTGCTGACTTTGGCAAGAGCAGTGTCCTTGAGGCAGTAGGATTGAGCAGTGATTGGGAGGTAATGAACAAGAGACCATGGTGCAAACTACTATTTCAAGAGAGTTGGTTCAAAAGATCAGAGAATTTGGGTAGTAGTTAAAGGAGCATGAAGGGTTAAAAAAGGAGATGAGACTATTTTTATTTTGGAGGGGAGAGAAATATAAATGTTTGTAGTATTCCTTTAAGTGTCATTGCGAAGGGAGGTGGGAATAGCCAAAAGGAAATGTAGAACTCAAAAAGAGTGTTTTATTTGCTTATCCATCTGCTTGTTTATGTTTAATGTCAAAGACTTGAACGCATTATATTACAAATGAAAAGGAGTTGATAATGAGGGAGCATTTTAAATGGAGGAGATATTCAATTGATCAAGGTCTCAAAGAAGAGCTTGAATCTATAGCCTATGGATGGTTGGGTTTTACCTAGTCACTCTTCTAGAGTAAGAGGATGCACTGTAAAAAAGAGAGGTTCCAGGTCAGGAAAGTGGGAGCAGGAAGTTCATAGGATTCTTGTTTGGTGGCTTGTTTGGGTTTTTTTCCTTCCTGACATCGAATGAGATAATAATCCAAGTTGGTGTTGCAACCAGAAGAGATCCAAATGGTGAACCAAGAGAGAAAGAAAAGTTCAAAGCCAAGAAAGCGCTGCTGAGTATTGGGTGTGGGGGAGAAAGGGAAGGCTATAGTGCCAAGATATATGATGTTAAAACCCAGAAAGATGAGGAATAAGTTCTGAAGTGGAATGTGAAGTGGTAAGTCTTCCAGTTTAAAACATTCAGAATGCAGGGGTGGGAAAGCCTGATTTATAATGTGCTTCCTTTAGGAGTGGCTGGGCTGGCTGGCTTAAATTTGCAAGAGAACTAGGCAACTCCAGGCTTTGCCAGACTGTTGGGAGTGGTACAAACTGAAACAAGGTAGCTGCAATGAGTTCACAAACTAGTTGGAAATATAAGGCGAATCAATGTACAACACTTAGCAGGACACCTGGCTACATTTCCTCGTCACCGTCATTATTGTTGTTATTAGGCTGAAAGTTAAATTATAATTCAATACAAGAATTAAACAAAAAGATGTGTTAAAAATACAAAATAGTATGTGATCAAATGTTAATGAGAGATATAGTCAAAAGGTAAGTAGTATGATCTGGAAAGAGGACAAGTAGTAAATAAATTAAATGGGTTTGTGAAGACTTCTTAGAAACTGACGCACATAATGGTCATTATAAGTTGACATGTTCTATTATCTTAGTTATGTCTCAGAGGCAGAACAAAAGAATGGCACTCCATTGCCCATAGACTGCAGAATGAGCCCCTGGAGTGAATGGTCGAAATGTGACCCTTGCCTGAAACAAATGGTAAGCATTCAATGCTTTTCCCTGCTTACATCCCCAGATGGAAACTATTGACAACATCCGCAGGGAAATGACTAATAGTCAGGGAGCCTGCAAGTGAGTTGCAAACTGAGAAGGAAAGCTAAATATGTAAATGGATATGTTTGACCTTGCTGGGAAACCTAAATGTGGCATGATATACTAAATGAGTGTCCATCTTCTGTAGAAGAGACGGCCAACCTTAGAATGTGAGGTGTTACTTTAAGTAACATTCGTGATTGCTTTTATGGCCTCCATCTTAAAACCATGGACTCACGTGGGCTTGGAGGGCTGCAGTGGTGTGGGTGCAATTTTAGCTTATAATCCCTTTTTGGCATTAGACATTCTAACATTTTCAGCTGGTTTTGTGCAGTTTCGCTCAAGGAGTATTGTGGTCTTTGGACAATATAATGGGAAAAAGTGCCTCGACACTGTGGGAGAAAGACAGCAGTGTGAACCCACAGAGATCTGTGAAGATGAGGAGGATGACTGTGGAAAAGACTTTAAATGTGGTACAGGTAATTCTCTCACTCTCACTGATCATTGTGGGTTTCTGTGTGCACTCGTGGGTGAAAAAGAAAGACATATGCTTCTAGACACTCATGTTTCCAAGTGTGAAAGGGGCCTGCAAGTGGACCATCTATATATTCTGTACAAAAAAGTAAAATGTATGTGTGTTCTCTCTCCTCCAGCATTAAATTGCATTTCATAACTTCAGAAAGAGAGAGAAAACTTGGCATGAGACATACGATGTCTTTCCTGATTTTGATTGCAGGCAGGTGCATAAAGAGGCGACTTCTGTGTAATGGCGACAATGACTGCGGAGACTTTACAGACGAAGATGATTGTGAAAGTGATCCCCGCCCCCCTTGCCGCGACAGAGTGGTGGAAGAGTCCGAGCTAGCACGGACAGCAGGCTACGGGTCGGTATTCCACTTGACTGTTCTAGAGGAGAATGAGTGAAAATGATCTCCATCTGTCCCGCCATGCTGGAGTGGTAGAAGGTTCACATTGGTAGGAAGAGTAGCTGTGGGGCTGTATTCTGTTTGAATTATGTTTGAGCTTGAAAGGGAGTAAGTGCTGAAGAAATATCTCAGGATAATTTGGACAAACTGCCCGACCTCAGTGGGTGTCTGTAGAATGGTCTAGACTATCAAGATATTAGTTGATTACTTCTGAGTTCAGTAGAAGATGAAATAACTCATTTATGAACCTCTGGAAGACAATAGCAAGGTTGAAATGACATGTTAGCATTTGAAATTGGTCTGGCAATTCCATTCAAATGTTTGAATTACCAGGAAGACTATCTTCCATTGAAACTTCTCCTGGATCTATACCTGGTTATAAGTTCTCAGGAGGTTCCAGCATTCTGAAGTTGTTCCAAAAGGAATGGGACAAAGGAAGCAATTCCGATGCCAGCTGGTGATGGTGTTGAGACTATGGTTCTCATTTCAGAGCTGAAGTTTCACTCATTTTCCATACAAAACATAGGGGCTCTGGCCAAGAAGACTGGGATGAAAAGTCAGACAGTTTAGGACAGAATAGAGACCATTTGCAGATCTGTGCTCCAAGAGTTGTGAAAATGACACAGGCCGGAGGTGCTGTTCTGTTCTGTTCCCTGTAGTCAGAGGACATTCCACAGATGTCCATAGCATAGTCTCCATTAGTTGTTCTGAACAGTAAGGATGTTTGGGTGGATTTGTTGGTAAATTGTCCCCAACAGAGACATAGTTGTTCCCCCATCCAGTAGTAGATTGACAAAGATTGCATATGGTCCTATTTCACCACCAGAATGCAACATGTCTCTTCATCTTCACCATCCCAGTGCCTGAATCATAGTAGGTGCTTAACAAATACTGATGAGTGAATAAATAGGTGAATTAATTAACTAATAAAGATAAATGCTTTCTAAAATAGTGTCCATTGACATCAGGTGAGACTGAAACTGGAACCCTAGAAAGAAATTCAGGTTTGGGACTCCAGTCCTGGGAACACGGTTAGGGACAGGAAAAAAGATGGGGGTGGTGGTAAGACTAAAGCTGACGGAGAAACTGAGGTCATGGTTCTCAACCAGAGATGATTTCCCTCCCAAAGGGACACCAGGCAACGTCTGAGGACCATTTTGATGGTCGCGACTGTGGGGTATAAAGATGGGCGGAATGAGGGAGCATGCTGACATCCAGTGGGTGGAGGCCCTACAATGCGCAGGACAGCCAGATCCAAACTGTCAGTAGTACTGAGGCTGAGGAACCTTACATTAAGGAGCCAGATAGCTCTTAAAGTAGGACTTCTGTAAAAATGGAGGTGTCTTCTTTCTCTGAGCCAGGCCAAACTTTCACTTCTTCAATCGTATAAGAAAAAAATTTCACGATACCAAGAGCCAGGCACCATATAAAGAAAGCATCTTATACACCTTTTATTCACTTTATAAAATCTTGTCTAAGCAGCTTTCAGACATTACCCAGAGTGCCTTTAGCCTTAAGCCTAAAGGTAGAAATATTGAGTCAAATGGATGGTCTTGGGCCCCAAACTCAGCAGGCTCTCTTAATAATTGGCAGAAATGACATGGGAGTTGTCCAAACCTGTATAACCAGATCACAGCATGCTCCAATGAGCTCTGACTCTTTCTGCTTTTCTCAGGAAAAGGCTATGAGTCTGTAGTCACAGCCTATTATTACTTTATTTTGCTTTATTTGGGATCCAAGAAACAGTTTTTCCCCTAATCTAAACAAAATTACATATATTATGTATTCTCGCTTAATGCAATTTACATCTTGTTTTACAGTGAAAAGATACAGAAATTTCAGCCCATTTAGCTGAAAAACAATTCATAATCTATCGGTTTCCTTTGTTTGGAGAAAAGAAAAGTTGTTATATAGCGTTTGCCAGAGTGTTTCATACTGAGGCATCCCGGAGAGTCAGCTAACGCTTCTTAAATACCTCATGCTTACCAGCCGGTGATAGGGAAGGTCACAGGTCTAAGCCTTCAGCAAGGAAGCTGGTGGGGCCCTAGCTATGGGGAAAGGTTGGCTTCAGAGGTGGAAAATGAGGTAGGCCTTGATAAACTCAGTCCATCGACATTTTTTGTTATAGTCCACATTACTATGAGTGAAAACCTATAACTAATTTAGCCTTCATAAAACCTATTCTTTGACAGCTTTCATTTGCATAAAACTTTAAACTTTTCAAAATCTTTTTGCACATTTCTTCTCTATAGATTTTCATAATAATCCTGTAAGATTGATAAGGGAGGTACTATATTTTACACATGAGAACTGAGTGAAATAAGGCCCTTTGGCTCATTAGTTTCTAGCAGAACTAAAACCTACGTTTCTCTGACTTACATAAATCTATACTTTTTTTTACCATGCCACTTACCTTTTCCTGCTGCCACATGCCCATCACCACCACATCACTATAAAACCCTTAAGTCAACACCTTGACTTCAAAGCAAAACTAACTTTAGAAACTAAAACTCAAGTAGTTTTTATTACCCAAATATTTGAATTAAGACTATACATGAGTAATATAAATCAATTAATATTTAAGAAGATGTTTCAAAGTAACATGCTTTATTATATTTATGATATTCTTTAATACCGTTAATATTACATAGTTATTTACTATGCATCTTTATTACTATATCAGGGGCTATGGGACTATATTGAAATAGAGATAATAGACGTAAACATCCTAACCATAGCAACATGCCTATAAACTGCTTCTATGCCATCCAATCTGGAAAACCTCAGCAAGTCTTACCAGTAGTCATATCTAGTCAGATTCTTTTACACATGAAAGTCAAAAGTACTCTTAGTAATTAATTTATCCTTTTTTTTATTTTTTTATTTGAAGGATTCTCATTTAAATTCTTAAGCCAGGAGAATTTACTTGTATCACAATGTTTCAGCCTCTTGTCTTGTAGATATCTGAGATTCTCCAGAAGTGTTTAGAGAATCCTCCCAACCCATCTTGTGCTCATTGAAAAAACATAAATCTGAACCAGTTGCAAATAATGTACAATATTCAAGGAATTATTTTGTGTGTGTGATCTAAGCATAACATCACTTCTGTGGAAAGACCTTTCTCTTCATTTTACCTGGTAAATTGGAACTGCCTGAGGTTCTAGATGCAGGTGTGAAAACAAGCATCTCCAAATGCTGCCAAAGAACACATGGTTTTTATTATTATTATTATTATTTTATTTATTATTTTTTTTTATTTCCCAGGCAATGACATTTGATCCCTGAGAAGTTTTCATGTTTCTTGGCAGAAAAAAAATTGGCTCATTCTAGACTAGACTGGCTGTCTCTGTAGTAGTGGAACCAAATCAAAAGTTTTGAAATATTTCTTCCTTAGTTGTGCTTTAGACTGTGGATCAACTTCATTGTAACTTTCCAGATGGGTCCAGCCAACTGGTCAACTTGCTGATCCATAAAATAATAATCTTCAAACTGTGGTATGCAAACCATCGGGTACAAAAAGACTCTACAAGGGGGAGATAGGTATGTTTTGCAATAAAATCTTCCTTAACTATTAGTTGCTGAATTAATCTGTCTAATTTATAGTAAATCCTCAATTCTATATATACATATTTTTCATAAAATTGATAAGCTTGACAACTCAGTGGCATATAAGTTGTCAAGCCCATTTTCTTTTCTCACCTCTCCTTTTATAATCATCTAACTCCCACTTTCCAAAAGAAGAGTACACCCCTCATCCATCTCACATTTTATGGTGGGATGTTAAAACCAAGAAACAACTCCAAATGTTCATACCCAATTGGATTCTTAACACTTCGTAGGTCTAACAGTCTCAAATTCTTTTTATCAACAACATTAAAGATGTCCTAATCAATTGTCAGATAATGAACTATAAAAATGAGTTTTGATGAAAGACTAGTATGTGATCTTTTTTGGCATAAAACTCAGAAGGTCAAAGAACTGAGTGACATTGCTATGACAAAATTCCTTCTTATCTACTTATTTATGTGAGTGAAGTTTCTCAGCATTTACTTCTATAAAAATGGAAAGTAAAAATAAAATTGATACTGAACCTTACCTTTTCCTAGCAAAGCGATAGAAATAGTCATCCATGAATGCAGAAACTAATCAATTAATTTTAAAGAAGAAGCCCCATTCATTTCAGTGAGAGATACCCTTCAATAAAATTTCACTTATATTTATTAACTATTTTTAAATGTATAATATATTTAAATATATTACTAATAATTATAACTCAACCTAGAAGAATTTTTTAAATACTTAGACCTTGTGGTCAAAGAATATTTAATATTTAAAATTTTTCAATGAATACCTTTTTGGTACAGAAAAGTATGAAAAGTAATCAATTAAAACTTTCAAGCATAAAATGAAATTATATTAAGTTAAAATTCCATGGTGAAAATGGAATCGAAATATGGATTTAAGAATGGAAGGGAGGTAGGGGCATATGAGAAATCTCTGTATCTTCTGCTCATTTTGCTGTGAACCTAAAATTGCTCTAAAAAATAGTCCAATAAAAAAAGAATCAAAAAGAGTGCTATAAAATGTCCAGCTATTAAAGAATAATAAACATTTGATACCCACAATCACTACTGCATTTATACACCACTGGATTTATTTTTAAAATAGGCAAAATAATTATATTTTAAAGTGTAAATATTTACTTCATACTAGAAAATTATATCCTTTGTAACTACTTAAACGTAAGATGAAAAATTTGAAATGTCAAACTAAAACTGTGCTGGGAGGCTTAGTTTCTCAAAATTTTTTATAGAGTAAGTAGACAAGCAGAAATTCTAAAGACTACTATCTAAAAGCACACCAAACACATTTCCACCTTCAGGCTTTTGCACACACTATTCCTCCCACCCCATTCCTTACCTTCTGCCCTCCTTGAGTCTCATCTTTCAAAATGTAAATCAAATTCTACTGCTTAAAAAAAATCTTTTTTTATGAGCCTGCCTTGGGGGGGTGGCGGGGAGGGTCTCTTCTTGTTGGGAACCTGCTCAGCACTTAACCAAACCATTCATTTGGCACACATATTCTTCCTAGGACTATTGTTTTTAAATTGGTGGTTGTGTGTCTAACTCTCTAACTTAAATATGATTTTTGTGAGATCAAAGACTGTGCGTTAACCATTTTAATATTACCCACTATTGATGACAAACGCTATGCTACACAAAGATATAGTAATCACCTAAGAGTTAATCATTGTTATAAACAAAGATTAATATCAGTGTTCACTGAAAGTCAAGAGGTACTCTGTTAATGTAGATATATGGAAAACAAGTTCACTATGGAATAAAGAAAATGTACTTAGATTCTTGTATACGAAACAAACACAGATCATCTATTTCCAATATCCTACTTCTTTGTATAAAAACCTTAGTAATCCAAAAAAAAATATTGATTCCTCACATTACAGATGCAGGGGTGGGTGAAGAATTAAAGCAAAAATTTTAATCTACCATGAATGATAAGATATTTAAGAAAGCAAACCAGGTATAAAACGTTTCTTTTTTTTCTTTCTCATTTTTATTTTGGTTACTAAGTCTAATTTTTGGCCATTGATTAGAATTACAAGGCCACAGCATTTATCATGAAAGGTATTTGTGGCAGGGCAAGATGTGAGAAGTGATTTATTCTGTAGTCAGCCTTGAGCAAGATATTTCCAAATCGGTTTCTTAACTTGCCTCCCACTGAAGTTGAGCTATAACGTTCATTTTCTTTGTAGGTTCAAAGCTTATTAAAAATGTGCTGTTTATAGGAAGATGTTTTTAACTAACCCACCGGCAATAGGATACCCTTTTAATGATTTTTTTCTGCATTAACAACGGGTTGACAAATTGCTCTCGAAATCAACATCTGAATTTGTAATCCAGCTCGGGGGAGTCAGGAATGTGGTCTAGAGCAATGGAAGAGTTTATGCTTTTGTGTCAGGCTGAGTTATAGATGTGAGGATCAAACCTCCATTTTGGCTTCCCTGGCCTGGGGCCATTTATTCCTTGTACAGTCTAGACAGCAATGACTGTTCTCCTTATTAACAAAGGTGAACTTCACAAAGAACAAACTGCTTTTTGTCCAAATATTGTTTTTAGGTCTACAAATCAAACTGAACTTTTTTTTTTTTTTTAAGCTAAACAAGATTCCTATTTCTGAATTAAAGCTTGCCAAATAAAAATATTTTCCTAAGAGAAAAAAGTAGAATTTCTGAGAATGCCTTACTGGGATGCTAAAACTTTTGAGTTCCTCTTGGAAACATGGGAATAATATAAGCATGGAGGGAATAAAGTTCTTGACAGGAAATGAGACAACTGGAAGACAAGGCTTAAGTTTAGAGAGAATAGAAGAAAAAGAGCTCCGATGTTGATTCATAGATTAAAAATTACATGCATATGTTATATGCATTCCGCCACTACCCCCCCCCCACCCCCACCCCAGGTGCTCTGTTCTCAAATAATTTAAATAGGTCATATTACAGCACTAGGTTGGCTAAGAGTTATAGCAATGGAGTTAAGACTCTAGGAGACAGATGGCCCTTTGCTTCTTACTTATTGCATTTCTTTCATTGTTCTCTCAACAGTGTCCTAATTGCTTAAAAAATTTATAAGGCCTTTCTCAGGTATGCTTTCTGCCAGAGACACAGAGAGGAGGGAGGTGAACAGGCTTCTGTTCCTGATTACATCACACACATATTGGGTGATGAGAACATGAGCGGAAACTCTCTCTTTTCCCAGCTAGAGGGTGGCTTTGCACTAGCTCCTGGCGTGTCCTTACGTGGTTGTCCTCTGTTCATTCTCAGGATCAACGTCTTAGGGATGGTTCCCCTAACCTCACCTTTTGACAATGAGTACTACCATGGACTCTGTGACCGCGTTCGAGATGGAAACACCTTGACCTACTACCGAAGACCCTGGAACGTGGCTACTCTGGCCTTTGAAGTAAGTCACCTCCAAAGAAAACACATTGTTCCACTTTTAGTTGAAAGTTGTTTTAACAAGTTTAATACTAAATAATGTGAAAAAATCAGTATAATAAGAATGTAATGTGAATATAAGATCGACTTATAGATGAGGAATTGTAACTTGGATCTCCTTAGAAAATATACTGTAGTCTACAATCAACCCACAGTAACACACACCTAGTGATAGAGTTTTGGCAAATACACAGACTCCATAAAAAGAATCATCTCAGGTTCTGATAAAACTAAAAATTAATTTAGTGCTGATTTAAGAATTGTGAACACTGCTTTCATGCTGTTTAAACTCAGTTTTTGCTAGCCTACCAATGAAAAACAATCTTCACATTTGTTTTACTTCAATATTCCCCCTTGTAAAGCCTGCTAATGTGAGAGGCTATTTTCACTCACCTCAGATCCCTCTAGTTTTTGTGAAACTATTTCTCAAAGTGATTTTTCCTCTATACAATGCTACCCCAAACTTACCACCTTCCTGAAAGTCACATGAATTCTCTAGAACCATCCACAAACTGGACTCACCCCCTATTCGAAGGATTAATATTTATCACCTTTAGAGATACCTTCTTTGGTCTAAGCAAATATAATTAAGGGAAATAATTTTGCTTATTCTAAACCAGGAGCTAAAATATTGTTTCTTTAGATTAGTCTCATTGTTGACAAAGTCCTTCATTATTGTTGTCACTCCCAGCAGTTTGAAAAACATACATACTTTTAAATAAGTGGAGTTAATATGTCTTTTATTTCTAACAATGTTGTAATCAGTCCCTACTCGTTGCAGCCTGAAGTGATCATGCTCTCCCATTAATGCTAAAGATGTTAACGTCTGTACTATTTGACTGGCATCTTTCTCTCATGTGACCACATTGTCATATTTTTTGTATCTTCAAGTTCAGAATAGAATCACTTTCTCATAAATCTCAAGGAACATTTTTAATTATTGATCTTTCCTCATCATGCCAGGTTCACCTTCTTTAAGCACATTTTTTAAAGGGAAGACGTTGCTCTTTCCAAAAAGTATTATACATGTTCTACTTCTTAAAAAAGAATAGACCAAAGATAAGATGACCTTTATCATTGCTGATGGAAGAAATGCTGCTGTCATATTGTTTTATTTTGTTTTTAGTTCTCAGGACTACATCGTACAGTTGTCCTGTCTTCATCGCTGTGACAGAATCTTAGCTTCTGTAAAGGGGTAGTAACTGGTGAGGGGTTGGGGTGCTCGTCCAAGACTGATCTCAAAACCACATTTGGAGTAAGCACATGGTTTTCCCTTATCTACAACCCTGGAAACAAATGTGCTTCCTCACTCAGAATGTTTTGGATTTTACAAAGGTGATGTGGTGCTATTACTTACACCTCCAGGGGAGTGAGGAGCAGCATTCTATAATCAAACACATTAATATTGCTGCAGCAGAATTAACCGATGTTTACACAAAGTGGGAGAAATGAAGACTATAAATAACTATCTGTCAGATTAATGCCTCCAAATGAGTTTTGGCATCAAGCTTATAAAAAAGCAGATAGGGATTGTGAACCTGAGTATTTATTTAGTGCCATCTGAGGAAGAGTGCCGATGGAGTTGACATAAGGCTTACTAAAGTCCCCAAATTGACTCCTTGGTGCTACTACTCTTGGTACTCCCCTTATGCTAATCTGTCATGGTCACGGAAAGCAAATAGCCAAACTTGTTTGCACTCAGTAAATATCAATTAGTATCATTAGCTATATTGGATCTGCATATTAAATCGAATAAATTTTTATTTGCATCTACTACTGTGTGCCAGGTGACACTATAGTGGGATGTGGATAAGACAGACATGGTCCCTGACTTCTTGGTGTTTATCGTCTGCAGGCCTATTAAATAAGCAATTATAAAAGGGAATAGTTTTTCATTTTGCTTTATTTTAAAAGAAGAGCCATGAGAGCTTATAGAAAATGGATTGTTAGTCTGTGGGATCAGGCAAGGCCTCCCTAATGGTTAAGCTAAGACTTGAAACGGAAGTATGAATTAACCAGGGCAAAGGGTACGGTATGTATGCATGTGTCGCGGGGAGAGCGAGAGAAATGTATGTGTATGAGTGTGCATAATGTTTGTATTACGGGAGGATGATTGGGTGCTAGAGAACATTCCAGAAAGTATAAAAGGGCCCTGTGGTGGGAAGAAGCATAGCCTGTGGAAATACAAAGGTGGCCAGAGGGCTTGAGTACAGTCAGGAGAGGTTAACTTGAAATAAGTCTAGTTTAGACTTTATCTCATAGGCAGTGGGAAGACTTCGAAAGATTTTAAGCATGGAAGTGACATGTTTAGGTTACTCTTCCCCCTTTATATTGAGCGCTCTCCCCAGCATGACTTGCCTTAAAGAAAATTATTCACATTTCTGTCTTTCCCATTAGATGGTAACATTAGGTTGTCTTTCTCAGCCTGTTAGAGCTGCTATAACAAAACACCAGAGACAAGCAAACTTAAAAACAACAGAAATGTATTTCTCAGAGTTCTGGAGGCTGGAAGTCTGAGATAAGAGTGCTAGCATGGTCACGTCTTCTAGGATGCAGACTTCTCATTGTGTTCTCACATGTTGGACAGGGCTAGGGAGCTCTGTGGGGTGGCTTTTATAAGAGCACTAATCCCATTCATTAAGTCTCCTCCCTGAGACCCCACCCCCTACCACTATCACATCAATGTTAGGATTTCAACATCTGGATTTATGGGGGACATAAGATTTCAACATCTGGATTTATGGGGGACATAAGATTTCGACCATACCATTCCCTATGCAGAGCAGTCACCCAATGCATGTTGCTGAATCTAGTCTCTGGCACTAACTGAAAGGATGGATGTTCCTTCCCAGATGAAAGAGAATTACAGTCTCTTTCAAGAGTACCTCTAGAAAGAGCTTAACCATTAAAATTAACAATCTTCCCTTTGATATCTGACAATAGTCAACTTGGAAAGGAATATTTTAATTGAAATTTTTAATTTTTAACTAGGTTGCTTAGTTCAGTTTTTTTAAATGCGAAAATAAATGTGGGGGGAAAAATTAAAAAGTCCAAACAGCATAATAGATTATACAAGGAAAAATGTTCCCACTCCACATTCCCATTTTATAGTTCTCCTTCTCAAAGGCAAACACTGTCTGTGGTTTTTCTATATTTCCAGTAATTTTCTATGCACATAGAAAGCATTTGTTTGTTTGTTTGTTTGTTTTTACAGGCAGTAGAGCGTAAAGGTTAAGTCTTGGCCTTTCTACTTAAATTAATTAACATATATGAAATAAACAAAACAGTACCTGGCCCATAAGCCCTCAGTAAGGATTAGCTTTATCATTTTCTACGTTCTCTTTTTTCTGTTACACAAGTGGAAGTATATTGTGCATCTGTTATGCAACTTGCTTCTTAATTATTAACATATTAACTTTTGAAAGCTTGCTATATTCTAAGTCCGTCATATTTATTATCGCATTGAACCCTCCCAACCACTTTTGTAGAAAGTATCCCTATTTTATAGACTAGGAATCAGACTAGGTGTAGAAAGGTTATTGTACAATGTCCTCCAACTTATGAAGTCTGTATTTGAACTCCAGTAGTCTCATCTCAGTGCCTTCATTCTTAACTCCTTTGCTCTCCTTCCAAATAATTGTGTGTGTGTGCGTGCGTGTGTGTGTATGTGTGTGTGTGTGCACGCGCGTGCGCGTAGGGTGGGGGGTGGGGCGGTTCTGTGTTTATTTTGGGTGGTTTTTGTATGCTGTTTTTAACAACACTTTGTTATTCTCTTTTAGACCAAAGTTGATAAAAATTTCAGAACTGAACATTATGAAGAACGAGTTGAAGCATTCAAAATTGTCATGAAAGAGACAACATCAAATTTTAATGCAAGTGTATCTCTAAAATTCACACCTACTGAAGCACTTGGGCTCTGTAAAAGTAGACAGAAAGGATGCCCTAAAGAAGCAGAAGTTCCAGAGAATAATACTTCCCAGGGCTCATTTCGATTTACATATTCCAAAAAGGAAATTTACCAACTGTTCTTGTCACATTCTTCTCAGAAGGTAAGATTAAACACTTCATGTGGAGAATATAATGGGATGTTTTGTAAAGTAATCAAACCCCTTCTTTTAAGTTTAAGTGTTTAGAGCAGATCAAGCTCATAAGAGAGAAAAAAATTAATAGTCAGCAAATTCTCCAATATGTAGCTAGAAGGTGAGAAAGAAGAATGGTAACTGGAGAAAAGTCTTATATAGGATTTAGCGGCAGTAAGTGGGTGAGATATTTGGTTGTAGTGAATAGAGAACAAGTGTATTAAGAATTCAGAGTGTACTTTTGGACTGAGACTGTAGTAATATGCTTAAATTTATACTATCTTCAGAATTACAATGAAAAAGCATACTGAGTAATTTTGGTAATTCATTGCAGTGCCTTAGGATGATGGCCATTTATTTACTATAAAGTGTGTCTCTAAGGTAATATGCTATGAAATTGTACACATTGCATATGAAATTGGCCTGCTTACTTTATAATCATACTTTTAATTTGAGACTTTGAAAATATGTTTGTTTTTTAATACTTAAGCCAGATTTAAAAGTTTGTTTCAGCACCTTTGGAACAAATATAGAATATACTTTCTGTAATCAGTATGATGCTAGTAAAATGCTCATTCTTTCTTTTCTGGTAGCAGAGTCATCTATTTAAATACCCTTCTCCCACTTTAAAAATAATAATAATTCACTCTTAGTAGATATGTTATGCCTAATTTTATAATTTTTATGAGTCCATACATTGCCTCTCTAGTCATATGAATATCTACCTAAAGTATGCCATTGGAAAATTCTTTAAGTCATTCAACAAACACTTAATTTGTGGATTGCTACATGGTCAGGCACTGCTCCCGGAGCTTACAATCCATTTGTGAACCAAACTAACAAAGATTCCTGTCCACATCGAGCTGGATGATCAGCATGGGGAGATAGACAAAAACAATAAACAGAATAGCGAAAAAAAAAAAAAAAGAAGCTATGTAGTATTTATATCAGTGTTATGGAGTAAAATGAAAAATAGAATAACATGAGGAAAGTTGAGAGTGCTGGGCAGATAGCAGTATTAAAAAGGAAGTTCAGGGTAGGCTTCAATGAGAAGATAAGGTCAGAGCAAATATTTGAAGGAGAGAAGATAGCCAAATAGTTATATATAGGATGATATATCTGGCAGAAGAAACTTTTAGAGACAAATTTCTAAGATGGGAACATACCTGCCCATTGGGCCAAAGTGAACCAGGAAAAGTTAGAGAGGTTACCTTGAACCAGAGCATGAAGGGCCTCACAGCCTATTCTAAGAGTTTCCTTTTCCTCTGAGTAACATGAGAGGTCACTGGAATGTTTTTAATAGAAGATTCACATCCTCTAATACATTTTAAATGATTACTCTTAGCACTCTATTGAGAAAAGCTTATGGGAGTTAAGAGCAAAAGCAAGACATTTCATTAAAAGTTATTGCAGGAATCCAGGTGAGAGATGATGGTAGTTCAGACAAGATAGTTGTAGAATCAAATACGATCCAAGGTTTTAGGTCTGAGCAACTGGAAGGATGGCATCGCTATCAACTGAGATGGGGAAAATTTCAGGTAGAGCAAATTTGGAAAGAACACCAGTGGTTAAGTTTTAGTTAGATTAAGGTTGAGATGTCTATTAGTCATCCAATTGGAGATGTCAAGTAGAAAGTAGTGTTATGATTCTGGAATTTGGGA